GCAGCACCACAACTTCGAACACCGGTATTTTTGTGTGATAGGTCGTCTCAACTGTCTGACTGAGGGAACCCGACGGAAAACATGCTGCTGCTAACTAAACACATATACCTTTCCTATCCTTTCCTCAAACAATCATACTGAGCAGAACTCTTTGAGGAGGAAAACATAGGAAAACAGTCTTCCAGAGGTCTCTGTTCCACTTCCATGAGGACGTCTGACGGTAGTCGCGTAGTCGGCCTCAATGAACAGTCCTAGTGACTCTAGTGCCTATCCCACCCATCTCAAACACTTGCTTAAAACTGCTTTAAATAGCTGCAACCTGCTATGAGGGAAGCACAAAGAGAGAAACTGTCACGGAACAAAACCAAGAGCCCGCCCACAGCCCAGGCGCCTCGCCCACCATGTCCCCAGCACCGGGCCCGGCGGCGAGCCCGGCCCCACCGGACATGGCTTTCGGCTTTGTGGCAGAGGAGTTTCTTGGTCTTCAGGGTGCTGGCGTGGAGCGTGGGTCGGTCATGTGGAAGGGAGGCGATAAGATCTACGAAGCGGTTGAATTGTGCATGGTTCTATGTTTAACTTCTTGTGTGTAGTCTTGGGGAGTCTCGCATGGGATCATGAAAAGTTACGGACTCAGCAGTGGTGCCAGAAAGCATTCACAACAAGGATCAACATGGATCAACAAGGTATCCTCGGAGTTTGTGCTCCGCTTGGACAATGGCCCATTCATTGCCACACGGTTTTTGAGCTTGCCGGCCCAAGCCGATGCGCATACCGAGGATGAAGGGAGCTGTGAGCTAAGTGAGCAGACGCCCTTGGCTCGATCGGTAATGCTTTGCGCGATCGGTTGCAGCACAAGAATCGTGCAAATTTAGCTGCGGCTCAAGTCCTGAATGCTGCGAGCACTGAGAGCCTGAGAGCAGGATCTAAATCACCATAATCAGAGTCGTGAAAGGTAGCTTTTGAAGGGCAAACTTGATCTCGCGAAGCGCAGGTGGGGTTCGAAACATTGATCACTCCCCATGGGTCACCTCGCTCATGTTGTAAGGGTTTGTCTCAAACAACTATATAAAGAACATATAGTAATATAATACGAAAGCCAGCCGATAGATACTGTAGGCTAGGCTTGAGCTCTTAGACCGAACGAAGTGAGTTAAGGGGGTGTGGGGGGGGTAGGCCGCGAAAAGGCACCAGTTGAGAGGGTAAACCCGGAGATTGCCTGGGGAGAGCGTTCCAAAGCGAGGGTCAGAAAAGCAATGAACATGGGTTTGGTGATGCGAGTGATGCAATTTGCTGAGTAGTGCATCATTAGCATCACGAATGTCTCCGGTGAGCACTCTTCTTGCCTCGGACGGGGTGCTGGGAACGGTGAGACACGTCAGCGTGCACGCAAAGGTATGAGGCTAGTTGGGGTGAACAAACCACTTGTGCCGCTGGTAAACTTGCACCACCACTAAACTGGCCAGCAGGGAACTCGTACCACATCACTACGGGTGATGGACCATCACCTGTAAGAACCAGTAAGAACCCACCACTTCAACAACATGTGCCACTTCACCAGCAGTTGGACCACTTCTGCAGCCCCCCCCACCCGTTGTATATATCACAAATTCTGTTACTCTGTTACTGTATGTGTATATATATATATAAATATGCGTGTGTGTTATATGTAATTGCGATTTCGTTTTATAGTGCAGGGGCCCAAGTGAAACTACAAACATATTCTCATATCTTGGCCTTATCCATGGATATTGGCCGCTTGCCATTGATCAAACCCTCCGGATCGGCAGATCAGGACTGAGCCCGGATTGGGTGACCACCGAGCGGAGAGACGAGAGATAGGTATCCTTTCACCTGCTCGAGTCATCCTAGGAAACATGATGAAACGTGAGTTACAAAGCTTTGGATCATATACTGTAAATTATACTGTAATTGCTTTGAGCCAAAGCATCGTCAACACATGCAGGAACCCTTTAGTTGGAGGCTTTCAGCTGTTCTCCACTTTCATGTGTCCGAGATATTCCAAGATTCAAGGAAGGTTTGTCAGACACCCCATGCAAACTGCACAAACATGCACAAACCAATGTTTCAAGTCTCTCATAAGAGCATCACTTACCCTTGGCCCACCGGGCTTCTTCGCTGCCTTGGCCGCCCTCGGCGTCTTGGAAAAGACCGCGATTTTCGGACCCAGAGCGGGAGGCCCCAAGGGGGGGCACAGATGATCCTAGCCAAGTCCTATAGCCCGAAGTATCGCATCGATGCAGAAGAGATGAAGGTTCGACCCGCGTGAAGACCCGAAGATGTGGAGCGAAGCAGAGCTCCTCGTGACAGAACAACAGGTTTGCAACTGATACGGCCCCCCCCTTAAGAGCTGACGGACAGTAACAAAATCATGCACCTTTAAGGTGCAGTAGATGGTTGCTGGGACCGGAATTGGTCTTCGCCCCCCAAAATAGAGCTGGATACCATGACATGGGAGACATGCTCCTAAGTTTTTTTTTGACATATTCTGACCAGCTTGGCCCTTGAATGGAGCCTTAAGACTTTAAGATCTACTCAATCTACTCCCAGACCCCGCCCTGCAAGAAGCTGCTCCACGTGCTCCACAGCCTCTCGCAGCACCACCGGGCGAGACGACCGGCCTGTTTCCACAAGCTAGCGGCTAGCGGATCGACATGGAAACAGCGGGGGCGCGAAGTGATCATGCATGGCGAACATCTCCACTTGAGCGGGATTGATGTGATTGATCCGTGTGACATCTTTAGACTCAATCAAGTAGTCGTTGGTAAGAGGCTCTATTGAGTCTCTTATCATATCCCACACGTGACGAGACCTTGATACCCGTAGGGTTTGCAGCTTCATCCTTCACGTGTCCAAGTTCTAGAAACGCGTCCTGCAGATTGTTCTGAACTGTGGCGGTGAATCCGTGGATTTCTGGGTCGAGGGTCAAAAAAAAACCACACCCTCCAAAGTGTGGCCATGGCGGTGGCCTTTCTCTTGCCAGAGCCGCTGGCTTCCTTTCGAGCGCTCCCATCCAACCGGCCCAGTGTGCGAGACTTGGGCTCCACGGGCCGTGTGGGCTCCACGGGGCGCTGGGGGCTCCACGGGGCGCTGGGGACGACCGTGGGTGCTTTCCTGTTGGGCGCCCGAAGCAGCTATGCCACGTGCAGGGCTAGCAAGCGCCCCATCAATGCACGTGATGGCAAGACCATTCCACAGAAAGGAAACTGGCTGTTCCCCTCGGTGGATGATGATGAAATCTATGAAGATATAGAAGATGAGCTGCCACCGAAGAAGGCGGTGGAAGATTGCGTGTATTGTTGCTGGGTGATGCCCAAAAAGAAAGCCAGCGGGATCTTCCAATCTTGGTCTGAAGACGAGGCGGCAGATGACGAACAGAAAGATATGTTGACGAACTTGGGGTCGCTCGAGCTGAAGAAGGAATGGACCGTGTGGGCGCTTTGTCAATCCGATGATGAGAAGAAGCCCGGCTTCTACATCGTTCCCCCAGCGGGAGCTGAACCAGATGCCCTCATTGTGGTGGAAGCCAAGGATGAGAACACCAACAATATCCAGCACTTGGGAGTTCGACCCGACAAGATTGGGGAGGAACAAATGCGCCAAGCCTTTCTGGATTGGATCGATTCCTTGAGACCAAAGGTGTGAGACTAAGGATGTCCGGCATCGGTTGGCGAAGAGGTTTCAGTTTCAACTGAGAGAGGGAGAGAGAATGGGCAGACTTCAAAGACTTCAAATATCTGCGACAGTTCGACCATTGACCATCATGGACCCTTTGATTCTAGACATATATAGAAATACTATGGATCCTTGACTCTTTTTTTCTCTCTCTTCATCCCAAAGACGGGGGTGATACGGCATGTTGCTTGTGGCTACCAAAGTCTCCAAGTCCAAGGTGGTGGTCATGAAGAGACCTCCTGAGCTCTATGCTTTTGGCCTGGGCGTTGATGGCGAAGGAGAGTCCAGGCCAGATGGACGGGGCGATGGGCCCAAGGTCAGCAAAGGACTCTGAGAGCGCCCGCTGCCACGGTGCGTCCGGCTCGGCTCTCAGATCTTCGGACGTTGAAAAGAAACAAACTTCATATCAGCTTAGTAACTAGTAACTAGTAACTAGTAGTAATGGCCTCCAAGCTAGTAGCAATGGCCTCCAAGGAGTTGGAAAGGAACCAGATCTTCATGTTCTCTCCATCTTCATGGAAGTCTTCCAGATCTTCAATCCATGCCCTCCCCCGAAATTCGCGGCTTTTTGTTCACCTTCCTGGACTGGAGCATCTTCGCTCTTCGACCGGTCGTTGTTCTGCTGGTCTTTTCGTTGGTGACCCTTTGCCCAGTGTCATTACATCCGAGGCGCCTGATTCATTAGATGGCAAACATATCAGTTGGTCTTGTGAGTGCTGATTCTAACTTGGACATGGAAGGGGGGAAGTCGGGGGAAGTCTCCACGGAATCTGGGAATCAACTACGAATCTCAGGTCTTGTTGCTGTCCCTTTGCCACTCTGATCCGTTGTGAGGTTGGAGTCAAAATGCCCAGTGAGTGCTGCCCCGATGCTGGGCGGGTAATTCACTCGATTTGGCCGGCTCTGCAACTTTTTAAAGGACCGAGTCTTCGAGTCTGCTATAATTGAGTATTGAATACATACTGATATATGATATAACATCTGGAATCAATATGAATCGGCGAAATACTTTGCATGACGCCTGACTTGACTCTTTTGCAGGTGATCATGAACCTTCTAGATGGCCCACCCATACGTCTGCACGTTTTGTTGATTTCGAGCAGGACGGCCCGCCCCGAAATGCAGACCAGCCGAGTTTAGATGCGTAGCAAGGCAAACCGAAAGGATGGATATGAACGCTTGGAGAGACATGGTCACTTGGTGTGCTGCGGCTGTGGTGGGGAGCGTTAGACTATCACATGTAGCAGATGACCCTTCAGCCAGTTGTTTGTTTGCCAAGATTTGCCACCATGATTCTCGATACTGAGGCCTGACAAGGAGGACTGAGCATCCTGCATTTCGCTTGTTGAAAGCAAACCATGCAATCCGGATCATGCACACACGACATTTGGTCGACATAATACGTTTGCCTCGAGATATTTCAAATCGAAATCAATGGCAGGATGCCAACGGACACTTTGTGTTCGGACCCCTGGCAGGATGGGATCTGTCGTCCCCTAACTTTATGATCCCAAACCATCCTATAGGGTCCTAGACTGAAGAGGGCGATGAAGAGAGAGAGAGAGACCGGTTGCCTAGCCGGTCAGGCGTCGATGAGCTCCATGTTCAGACTATGGCATGGAAGGTTTGTTGAATCCCACGGGTGAGAATGAAAGGTGCAAGACAAGTACCCAGCCAAACAGAAAACCACATCCTACAATTGCCTATAATTTTGTGTACTATCGCCCGCAGTCCATGTAGTCTATATATATATGCATATACAGTGTATTTATAGTTATTACTATTACTGCGGGATGTTATAAGAATAGTTTAGTTAAAGCACACACTGGCACCACACACGGTCGCCAGTGTTTTGCTGCACACCACTTGCTTGGCCCTTTGCATCACTGGAGGCTGGAGTTGTTGGACTCCGCAGGCTGCAAGACCGAGGCGAGTGCATGCGAGCACCAGCTCAAGCCGATGAGAGGTGTTGCAGAAAGGGAAGTGCACTAATGCTACGCTGCTGGTGCTATAAGGATGTAATTTGGGTGCTCAGAATCGCTAACGGGAGGTGTTCTACAGGTGGTAACGACATGCAATGACCTGAGTAAGTACCCAAGAGTTACTTTTCAGCTTAAGAGTGTCGCTGAGACCCAGCACACTCTTGATCCGAGAGGCTTGCTAGAGCAATATCCCAATGGGAGTCCCAATGGGTTGTGGAGCCTACCAGGTTACCAGGCCCTACCATGAACATCACTTCAAGACTCCATCGGTATGGTCTATTACATATATATTAATATAAATATATTAACCCTTTTTGTACACACACATGTATATATAATGTCAATAGGGATGGGGTCCCAGTATAGTCGCTATACAGGTACATGCCATATACTTTTGGCTCAAGTGCCCAACCAGGTAAAAA